TGATAATCCAATTAAGTCTATTAGACTTAATAATGCTGCTGAGTTTTCATCCCAAGCATTTAACGATTATTGCTTATCAATTGGGATAAAAGTGGAGCATCATGTAGCTCATGTTCACACTCAAAATGGTCTTGTAGAGTCTTTAATTAAACGTCTGCAATTGATAGCAAGATCGTTACTCATGAAAACGAGGCTGCCCACTTCTGTTTGGGGTCACGCCATTTTGCATGCAGCAATGCTAGTTCGTCTCAGACCGATAAATTATCATAAATATTCCCCGTTGCAATTAGTTTTGGGTCATGAACCTAATATATCTCATTTAAGAATTTTTGGATGCGCAGTATATGTGCCTGTAGCACCGCCATATCGCACCAAAATGGGTCCGCAAAGAAGATTAGGAATATATGTTGGGTTTGAATCGCCCTCCATTATTCGCTATCTTGAAACATTAACGGAGGATTTATTCACTGCTCGATTTGCAGACTGTCGATTCGATGAGACACTTTTCCCAAAATTAGGGGGAGAAGTTGGTGAAACCAAACGGGAAATTTTGTGGAAAAATCCATCATTATCTCATCTTGATCTGTGTGCCTCTATTTGTGAAAAGAGGTGCAAAAGATTATCCATTTGCATAGAATAACAAATCAAATACCAAATGCATTTACGGATTTGAAAAGGATAACAAAATCACATATCCCTGCAGAGAATGTTTCAATCCGTATTGATGTCCCTGTTAGACAATCTTCTAGTGCCATAGCTAATGAGTCAAAAGCATGCCTAAAACGTGGTAGACCATTAGGTTCTAAAGATCGAAATCCTAGAAAAAGGAAAATAAATTATCAAAATGACACTACAAAAGAACCTCATGAAGAAATCCACGATTTAATAAATTCTGAGATTCATGAGGAATCCACTAAGCCCAAGGCTCAAGAAAATAAGGAACTATCAATAAATCCAATCGATATTGAGATAAAGTTGAATCGAGTGGATATAGTGGTGGATTATGTCTTTGCATATAATGTTGCATCTAGCATTATGCAAGAAAGTGAGGATCTCGAACCTCAATCTGATGGAGAATATCGACAAAGACTTGATTAGCCAAAATGGCAAGAAGCAATCCAATCAGAATTGAATTCACTTGCAAAACGTGAAGTTTTTGGGCCTGTAGTCCAAACACCTAATGGTGTTAAGCCTGTTGGCTATAAATGGGTCTTCGTACGCAAGAGAAATGAGAAAAACCAGGTACAAATATATAAGGCACGCCTTGTTGCACAAGGATTTTCACAAAAGCCACAGATATACATGAAAATTCCTGAGGGATTCAAAATGCCTAAAGCAAATAATTCAAAGTCCCGGGAAATGTTTTCAATCAAATTGCAAAGATCGTTGTATGGTCTAAAGCAATCATGACGAATGTGGTATAATCGTCTTAGTGAGTATTTATTAAAGAAATGCTATATAAATGATGTCATTTGCCCATGTATTTTTATAAAGAAAACAACATCAGAATTTGTTGTACTTGCCGTATATGTTGATGACATAAACCTTATTGGAACTCATATAGAACTCCAAAAAGCAATTGATTATTTAAAGAAGGAATTCGATGAAAGATCTCGGAAAGACAAAATTATGTCTTGGTTTGCAAATCGAACATTTGGCAAACGGAATTTTTGTTCATCAATCTGCCTACATAGAAAAGGTATTGAAACGGTTTTACATGGATGGAGCACATCCATTAAGTACTCCGATGGTTGTTCGATCACTTGATGTGAATAAGGATCCATTCCGACCTCAAGAAGAGAATGAAGAGCTACTTCGTCCTGAAGTACCATATCTTAGTGCAGTTGGTGCACTAATGTATCTTGCTAACACTACAAGGCTCGACATAACTTTTTCAGTTAATATCTTAGCAAGATATAGCTCTGCTCCCACAAAGAAGACACTGGAATGGAATCAAACACATATTGCGGTATCTAAAAGGGACTACCGATATGGGCTTATTTTATGGCAATAATTGCAGTCCTGATCTTGTTGGTTATGCCGATGCTGAATATTTATCGGATCCACACAAGGCTCGATCTCAAACAGGTTATGTGTTTACCTGTGGAGGCACTGCCATATCTTGGCGATCGACTAAGCAATCAATTGTGGCTACTTCATCTAATCATGCCGAGATAATTGCTATTCATGAAGCAAGTCGAGAGTGTGTGTGGTTGAGGTCTATAATACATCTTATTCGAGACAAATGTGGTTTGAGATGTGACAAACTACCCACTATTTTGTATGAAGACAATGCAACATGCATAGCTCAATTGAAGGGAGGATTCATAAAAGGAGATAGGACAAAGCACATTTCACCAAAGTTATTTTTCACACATGATCTTCAAAAGAATGGTGATATCAATGTGCAACAGATTCGTTCAAGTGATAATATGGTTGATTTGTTCACCAAGTTTCTACCGACGTTAATCTTCAAGAAGCTAATACATAAGATTGGGATGCGAAGGCTCAAGAATGTGAATTGATGCTCTCATCTGGGGGAGTTAACGCACGTTGCACTCTTTTTCCCTTACAAGGTTTTGTCCCACTGAGTTTTCCTTGCAAGGTTTTTAACGAGGCAACCAAAAGGTGTATAGTTAGATATGTGTACTCTTTTTCCTTTTTTAGAATTTTTTTCCCATTGGGTTTTATTTTAGTTAAGGTTTTAACGAGGCACATTACTTATCGAGTAGACATTCAAGGGGGAGTGTTATGAATAGAATTCTATTTAGAGTGAATGTCTATCTTGTAGAGAGTTTTACTTTGTGGCTAAGTCATTTTTCTCCTATAAATAGAGGGATCTTACCCCATTGTAAATCATCCCAAAATTCAATAAGAATTTCCTCTCTCTATTTCTCTGCAATATTGTTCTTCTACTTTTATTGTTTTATAATAGGACTTAAATAAACCTCTAAAAATTCACATAACTACTCACAACTTATTTGGATCTTATGGGTGTCGCCGTTACTTTAGAAAAGTCTGCTTGACGATAATGAACACATTTGGAAAAAATAAATTTGATTTCCAATTTAAAATATTGAATACTCCACTATAAACAACTCATATATATATATATATATTGTGCACAAATATATCAAATTGTTTTTTAAGAATGCTTATTGAAATATAATCTTAAGAATGTTTATTGAACAATAACCTACTAAGTGCAAATCTTTTTTTCAAAAATTTTAATTCGAAAACTCAATATTATTGATTTCTAATGTAATTATTTTCCACGGAGTCTTGAAAATTTTAAAATGTCTTTTTTTTTTTCATTTGTTAAAATCAAATAAATATAATAAATGATGTCGATTTTATGATTTTATGTTACATTTTGTTCAAGTGACTTAATTTCACTTTGTTGTTTTCATTTTATGAAGTTGATAATGTTTAAAAATTAAATAAAGCTAGTGATCTAAGTAGGTTACAACGCGAATGACCTATGTAAGTTAACGTATTTCATTAGTCAATGGTTAGTTGGTTGATAATTTTTTGCATCTATAGAAGAAAGGCATAAATGTTGGGAGAAAATCATAAAAGCTTACTATAATTTAAGTAGCAATTTTGAATAAAATAGGTGCCGATTCGTCCTGACTATTCTCCTTTCCCTCTCCTCCCCAATCGCCCTATTGTAATGGACAAAATTTTATTGTTGGCACTTGGAAGAAAGGCTGGGCACTTTTTTCAAAATGTGTTTTCTCAAGTTTGTCATCAACAGATCAAATCATGCCTAGATATATACATCAGTCCTCGAATTATTAGTGTTTTAACTCTATCGACTATTCATTTAATATCGCTACAAAGTAAATAAATGTGCCACAAAATAGATTATAACTATACAAAGCATTGTTTTTTGTGGGATTGAAAATCATTTTGATCCCCATTTTTGTATTAAAAATCAAACTCCTCTTCCAACATTAAACAATATACATTCCGCTCCTCCAAATCAATTATATTTGTAAAAATACCTATTTTACCCTCAATCTTATCAATCTTGGTCTTTATTTTTTATTTTCTTACTCTTTAATATCTGAATATTTTTTAATCGATATTATGAATTTACCTATAGTGAAAATAATATTTTTAAAATTTTAAAAAACTGAAAAAAGATATCCAATCATATATAATTTATTGAAATTGAGTAATAAAGAAAATGGGCGCAATTAAAATATCAGAATAAAAGATCTTATTAATGTCGATCAAATAAAAGTTAGTACAGTAATATAAAAAAAATAATTAAAAATAGAGGACAATGTTATAACAAGATTACATATTAATAGCTAAATTCGCCATGGAAGATTTTTGTTATGTAAGAAATCTTTCTACTAGTGTATGTTGTAAGCTGGCTGCTCTAGGAAATGGAAAAAAAAATCCAAGTGAAAATGATATTTGAAAATTAGAGTTGTGTTTGAACATGAATATAATTTTGGGTTGTTTTTGAAGTTTTGTGAGTGATCTAAGTGAAAATTTTGAAAAATAGTTTTCTGGAGTTTTTCAAATTTTCGAAAAATTAGAAATTTTATGGCCAAACACTGATTTCGAAAAAAAGTAAAACAATTTTGAAAAAAGTAAAAAAATTCTTATGTCCAAACGGGCTCTATGTATTTGTATTAAGAATCCCCACCTTCAGTTTCGCATATTCATTTTAATTCAATTCTTAACGTTCTTCTGCGACGAAGAGTAGATGCATTTTGGCTGTTGTTAGTACAATGGCATTGAAGTGGAAAAGACTCAACTTTACTATTAAGAATATGTGCAGACGTTTTAGCCTTTAACTTTGTCTAATTAAGAAGTTATTACCCTAAGTTTAAATACTTTCTCATATCCTTTTCTTTTACTCTAAAATACTGATTTATACCTGTATTAGACCCCATACTGCTTTTTTAGACTTGGTACAGAAATGATCTTTTTTTTCAGCTTGGCAAACTGGAAATATTCAACTCTGAAAAAAACTCATGGTATTGAACATTTGCATACAAAATTTTAGCCTCAATGGTCTAAATTCTTGACACAGAGATATGTCTATTATTGTTTGCACATACACTCAGGAACAGGATATGCTATTACATCTCTGTCAATCTTCTTCGTCCTCGGCTCAGGTTGCCCCTGACTTTTTCGATGCAGTTTCTTTATTATCCTCTTGAATTCTTGATCAGGTATAGATGAATCTTCAAAGAAAGGCAGCATCATTCTCTTATTTGGCTTTATATACTTTCTGTGTCCTACATATGCCCTATGTCCCTGACCACCAAAGTTCAAAGATAATCAGCATTGTCCAATGTTAAAAAGATCAGTAAATAAATAACAAGTGCTTAATACCTCGAGAGTTCGGCCCATGTTACCTCCATGGGAATTGATGAAAACATCACTGCTCAAAGACACAATGTAGTCGATAGCTGCCAATATTGAAGATTTTTCCAAGTATGGAGTGAGCTCTCCATTTCGCGCCAATGTATGCTTTTTGACTAAATTTGGGAACTCCTTTTGTAGAGGCTGCATAGCTTGCGCGTCTCCAAAGGGTTCTCCTCCAGCAACATATATACGAGCACTGCTTGGCGCTCCTAAACCCTTCAGAAATCTGTAACATAATGCCCCGTTTGAGAGTGATTTTAGGTTAATTTTTAGTAAACCAAAACATGGTCAAGGACTTAAACAAATTTTACCTTGCCATTTCTGATGCATTTAAGGGACAAAGTCCTGCAAGTCGCCGTTGTGCATGAGTCATGTTCAATTTTCCAGTGAGGTATTCAGGGTGAGATTCCCTTTCCCTACTTATAATACTGTCAAATTGCTTCCCTAAACAGGTAAGACATCCGGTTCTGATCCAAACATCCTTCTCTAATCTGAGATGGATGGCAACATAAGGACCTTCAATCCACATTCTTCTAGCTATCTGATATCCTAGCTCCCTAATTGGAGTTGCAAATCTTAGTGCATGGAATGCAACCTGTTCATATTACAAAAAAACAAGAAAGTTACTTCCCAAATTTTTGTCAACTATCGGAGATACCCAAGGCAGCTCCCCGTGTTAGCTTAATCACTAGTGCAGAAAACAAGCTGTCGTTCGTTGTATTACCTTGCATTTGAGCTTCTGCAAGTCAGGCGGAAGATTCTTTGAGAGTTTAGAATCTAATCCTTTCAATATAAGCAGACCTTCTTCGTTTAGCTATAAAATTAAATGTAACATAAAGTTAAGACTAAATTGAACTAACATAACAAATTTAGACAGGATGAACTATTCACTACTCAACTTAAGTATTAGTACAGCAAAAGGAGCAGTTTCAATATCTTACTTGTTTGAGAAATCTGGCTCTAAGCCAGAGTGGCGATACATGAAAAGGAAGTTCGCGGTTAATAGTCTGTTTAGAAACAAAATGTGTAGATGGCAATGATGTTACAATCCGAACATCAGCTATCAAAGTCTTCTTGAAATGTTCAACATCGAATATATCCGAAAATTCACTGCACACAAAATTAAGTATTTATAATCTTGAAACCAAATGAGCCAAAACAGTGGTTAAAAAAAGCCAAAAGGAACTTCAGATTTTACCTATCATCACCCCAAATGTGATTTACTTGCAAAACAGGAACAACGAGAGAAGCTCCAAGAATTCTTGCTATGACAACTGCATCAACAATCTGATTCCTTTGCTGATTCAATCCTCCTGAAGCAACAACAACCAAAAATTTCCTCCTCTCTTCAGAAATCCTTGCAGAGGCTTTTCGATACTTGAGACTGAAATCCAAACAAGGCATGTATCCTTGATTATCTGGTTGTTTCCAGAACTCTTTTTCCTCCTCCGAAATATTTCCGATAGCCCCGTGAGCTGGTAGCGGCACCATTGCTCCAGTAGATAGAGTGACTGGTTCATTTTGAACAGAAACTGATGCTGCAGCCAAAACAGAAGCTAAGAACAGAGGAGAAGAAGAAGTCTCAGGGCATGAGACTGAATTTTGGAAAAGCGTTGTGAATGTGAGCATCAAAATGCCAAAGAAAGTGAGGAAAACGAGAAGAGAGAGGAAACAGAAAGAGAGAAATGGGGATGAATAGAGATATGTTTGGGTGATTCTTGAGTTCTTTTTGGGTGAGTAATGGAGGGAATTGAAGGGAAATAGTGAGAGCAAATGAGTGAAGAATGATGGGTTTAGAGAGATGAATGAGCTCTTGGAATTTCTTGTTCTCGCCATTGAAGATTCTCTGAGAAATTTACAGAAGCTCTTGAGGAAATTATGGAGCAGCTAAATGTATTTCAGTGGAAGATGGTTTTCTAGAGAGAAAACGGTGGAATAACAGAAAATTAAGAGAACTAATGGAAGGGGAGATTTTGGTCAAGATATTATTTACAGTTAAGTTGGTTACAAAATTCTTTTTCTCCCTTTCCCGCCAGAACTTAACCAACTGTATATTGCACGCGTATTTTCCTAAAAGAGTTGCAAATTGCAAAGAAACCCCTCTTACTTCTACTTATTGATATTGTTGACCCTTAACTTCCCTCGAAGAGGGTAAGGGTGACCAGAACAAGGGAAGCCTCCAGAGACGATTTTTGGCAACATAACTGCTAGGTGAACTCCAAGTAGCTTTTGCAACTGTCACACTCAAATTTTCTGGATCTCTGTTTTCTTATCATTGCATGGTTCCTTTACTCTCAAAGATGGACAATTTTGATTTTCTGAACACAAAGTTTTTATATGTTTTTGTGTGTGTATTCGATGTTCTATGTGATATTTGCATCGATGGTGCAGCTTCCATATGACTTTCTTTCTTCCTCAACAAGGAGGTTGAGTAATGGAGTGCAGGAGGTTGAGTAATGCAGGCAGATTACATTTATGTTCATACCTTTCACCCACCAACATCTTATAAAAGAAGGTTATTCAGACAAATGTTTTGGTGTACAGCAAAGTAATAAAAATCTAATCCAAGGCATGCTACGCTAGTTTCAGCAAACAAAATAGCACTAAACCAAGAAGCACCTTGCTCAGAACTATCAAAAATTCAGCCAATAAAGTAACCTGCAAAGAGTTTAAAAATACTCCTTTCTTCTCGTAAGAACTTAAACCTCAAGAAACATTATTTCAGGGTAAACAAACTGTTTTCTTATAAAAGACGGCAGCTAAGAGAGATGCTTTTGTGGAGCGACCTGTAAATGATAAGAGTCTCTTGACAGATATAGTAATGTTTCATAAAAGCGACTACTGAAAATAACATATCCAGAACCCAGAAGCTTCTTCAATTACCCTCCCACACACTCAAAAATGGTGGCTCCAACTAGCATCTTCTGTTACACTCTTGACTTCATCCTGGCTTGGCTAAGAGTAATAATTTTGTGTAATTTCCTACTGAACTGCAAAAGCTCAGTAGATATCAATGTTAAAAATAAAATAAAATTCAGCAACATTTTTCTGAAGTTCATAAGAAGTTGATACCAGCTAGTGCCATAAAAGATAAATAGCCCTGTCAGTCATCTAGAAATTAACGGGTTGAACCAAAATTCAGAGTTCATTGTTTAAACAAAAAAGTTTGGCATCCTTCCATCAGGAGAGAGCTTTCTTGACTTCAGCTGTGACCGCCTGTGGTGGTTTCTCGGCAGGAAGATTCACTACATTACCCTTCTTGGCGTAGTAGTCAATGACCTGCACATTAATTCAATAACTTAGCATGACGACAGAGATTGAAGGTAGAGCCCAACAGACAACAAAATGACCATTAGCCTTCACATGTTTTGAAACAAACATTATTAGGTCAAATGACTGCTATACCCTGTATATAATCTTTGTCCTAAAGTGAGAGGCTATACTCAATTGTAAACTGACGATCTCTCTTGAACACTTCGAATGTCAAAGTGGTAAACATTGCCAAACATCTTATTGATTAAGTTAGATTCCGAAATGCAATTCTAGACATACTTTCCCCAAAAGGGATCCTACTCAGTTCATGCAGGACTTGAACATTAGCTTGAGATCAATTCTCTACCAAAGCAACTAGATAAACAGATGTGTTTTCCTTTCCCTTCCCCACAATAAGTAGAGATAAACAGCTGTTTACCGGCTCAGTTTGCCTGTGGAAACCTTCCAGCCTTGACTTGAGAACAGCAGCAGTATCATCTTTACGTTGTATCAAAGGCTCTCCAGTGACCTTCATGAAGACAAATAAAATTTAATTAGATTCAGATATCAGAGCTTCCATTTTTTGTTTTTTGTTTGGAGAAAGTCCTTAATACAGAAAGTTGTGAAACTAAGTTTTTCTGACAGAATTTAAGCTGCATAACAGACAATAACGATTATAAAATTGTAAATAAACAATTGCTCAGTCTTTGCAGACACATTACAATGAAGTACTTCAGCAAAAAGACTTCTTTTTTATTTTTGATAAGTTAGAGAGGAACAACAGTATTATCACAACAGACCAATTAAATAAATAAATTTTGACAGTATTATCTTACATCATCTACCCCAGGTACTTTAGGAGGTGCAAACTTTGTATGGTATGAACGACCACTAGCTGGGTGGATCCAACGTCTGGTAATTCTCTCCTCCAAGATGGCATCATCAATCGCAAAATTAAGGACCTTATCAATTTTAGTCCCTCGATTTTGAAGCATCTCATCAAGCTGCAATAAGTAGAGAAAGACATGATTTCCTACTACAAAGATTCAAAGCTGACAGGAATTGAACATAAAGACAATATAAACATAAATAGTCATGGATTAACAGGAAAAGAACCTTTTCTGCTTGCACCACAGTCCTAGGGAATCCATCAAGAATGAATCCTTTTTGACATGACGGCTTCTTTAATGCTTCGTCTATGATACCAACAACCAAGTCATCAGAAACAAGTTCTCCCTGAAAAGACAGTACAAAAACAATTTTACTGAGGAAAGGAAAACCAATGTGTTCAGGGTAGTCAGAAAACTATAATAATAATTAAAATAAACAACCAATGTGACCTTATCCATGGCCTCCTTCGCCTTAATGCCCAAAGGCGTTTTGGCGGCAACGGCAGCTCTCAGCATATCCCCAGTGGCTAAATGACACAAGCAGTACTCATCTTTAATTATAGGAGATTGCGTTCCTTTCCCTGATCCAGGTGGGCCTGCAAAAAAATTCTAGTTTTTAGATTACCTTAAAAAAATAAAAATAAAAACTAGTTTTTAGAGATCTCAACACAATAATAGTTTGGAGAGAAGGAAAATCTATAGAATTATCTATCACAAAAATCTGGCAAAGCAAAAGAGAACTATTCATAATTCTACATATAAGTCCATATGATGACAACTCAACACCCAAATGACTTCAGATTGAGCACATGGATGACATTGTTTGTCGATAGAAACTAGAACAATAATATTTTTGATAAGGTAAACCAGAACAGAAATATTTAAACACAATTGCTATGACATAAATACTAGTCAACTACGAAAAAGAAGAATTCGTATAACTCATTAAGAAAAACCAGCTCCAAACCCAATCCAAATATATATATATCCTTGGCTAAAACTTTCAACTACCTATATATCTGCCCCTTACGAGCATTATGCAAAAAGCTTAGAGAAGAAAAAAATGCCAAAAGACCTAAACATGAAATAGGAGGCAAATTATTGTCCAGACTTCTTCTGGAGGCATGTGGAATCGATTGGAATGTTTTTTGCCTTTCTGTTTATATTATTGAGAATCAAATCAAGTCTATGAACTCCAGACCAAAGGATTACACCTTGGTTTAGTGTTGCAAGGGTTGAGCGGGTGGTAGCTTGACTTGAATCACAAAGAGATTTCCAAAAGGAAAAACACCATAGAACATTCGTATGTAGAGAGAGCACTTTACCAGAGCACAGCTACTTCTATCCAATATCAGCAAAAATGAAACAAGTCATAGAACACATGCATATAGAGAGAGCACTTTACCAGAGAATAGTATAGCTACTTCCACCCAATATCAGCAAAAACGAAACAAGTCAAAAAATAACTTTCAGTGTTACGTACACGTGATCTTAACTTTCAATGTATTATATCGTGAAAGCTAGCAACATAAAAGCTAGTATCATTACCAAATTATCCATTACAAATATCAAGAAAACAGATGCTCTGGCAGAATCCCTATTTTAGCTCGAAAGCTCCGTTGACTAATTACTCCTTTTAAGGAATACTATTGCAGCTTGACATAGCATATTAATTGTTTAGACTTGAAACTGAAATGCAACAGTACGAATTCAATCATATTAAAAATAAGCACAACCATGGACGCACTCAAAGCATGTAGAAACTAGACTTGCTAAAATGAGTTTGAGACAGCTATTTAAAAGAATGAGTTTGAGATAGCCAAATTTCTCTTACTTTCAAAAATATTTAATCTCCCATCAAGATCCTCCATGGCATCCTACTTCAAGCCAATTCCAGAAATGTTGCAAAAGGAGGCAGCACATCTTCGAGCTAAAGATTTCCCATATCAAAACAAGGCAAAATTTTACCATTTCTACTCGCTTCTTCTCATATCATAGTTATTGCACTCCCGGTGCCTCCCAATTTCAAAGACATTTTTTGACTTCTGACTTTCTAGACTCTTTCTTATACTTTCTAATATTCATAACCAATCTTCTAGAATTTTCAACATCTCACACAATTTTATTTGTGGATAAGTAACATCTGACGCAAATGTAGTACCAAAAAGTTCATATATCTATGTCACCTTATTTTAAAAAATATAGATAAGACTTCAGATGTAGATATTAACCCAAAATACGCACCACGACTTTGGTTCAGTGCTAAGGACACGACGTGAGAGATATAGATAAGGCGTGCGTCAAAAATTCGAACAATGCCACTGACAAGGAGCCTGGTGAATAACGGGAGCAAAGTAAGGGTGCAATTTTACTCTTCGACCGCTTCACTTAATAAAATTTAACCTAGTGCAACCTGTGTAAAGCAGAGATTTTTTTCAGAATTTAATATAAAAAAAATCTGGAAGATCTTGCTTCATCCTCTAAATGATAGGGCTGGGCGAGGAGGTGATACTTGTTATCAGGTCAGAGAGAACCCTGGCCCGTAAGCTGCCCCCCTTAAAACCTACTCCCTCCGGTTCACAATAAGTGACCAATTTGCTTTTAGCACGCCCATTAAGAAAATACTAAATTCTATACAAAAATACCTATTATGACTAAACTACCCCTAATTAAATATTTAATGTGAGGAGTAAGAAAACTTTTTAGGGATATGTACATAGGGGTTATTTTGTAAAAACAAATTGAATTCTTTCTTGATTACATAACTGGACACCTATTTTGAACCAAAATGAAAAAGCAAATTGGTCACTTATTGTGAACCGGAGGGAGTATTACTTAATAAGGATCTGTTACGCGCGATATGCCGACGACTTACTACTGGGAACCGTGGGTTCCGCCGAGCTTCTCATAGAAATACAAAGACTATCGCCCACTTCCTACAATCTGGCTTGAACCAAATTCACCTAAATTCCAGAACTTTCTTCTCGTTTCCAGTATGCACAATCTCCCTCCCACTCCCAAAACCCCAAGGAGCAAAACCCAACACAGAAATAAACTAATCATTACAAAATTCTACTTAACTGAAACGGAAAAACTGTAGATCTGATACAATTATGGGGGGAAAACCCATATAAAGTACTCAAAGAAAGAACTTTGAGAGTGAAAACCAAATATATGTACCGATAACATCAAAGTAATAAATAAATTGTGTGGATCTGATTGGCAAAAAACCATATGATACAGTAAAAAGAAAGAATTTTGACAACATCAGATATACACACAAATAAAAGAGAGCAGATGTGAGTATAATTACCAATTAGAATAAGACGTTTGTCAGGCTTGGAGGAACACCGCATGCGGCGGAGGAGCTCCGACATGAGGCTCTCCGACGGAACATCTTCTAAGTTCACGGATGTCGACATTGTTTCAATGGAGGCTTTGGAGTTTTGGGTGTTAGGATTCGGAACTTCCAACGCTTCAAACTGAAGCAAGATTTACACATAACAATGACACTACATGAGGTTTGCTGTTATAATGACTATTATATCCTTGAATCACTGTTTAATTACACATTCTTCCCTCACCAATATAAATATTTTGAGAAAGAAAATGTCCATATGTTGCTAAAAGACACCTTTTCTCTTTGTCTCACATAGCCTTAAGTTAGTAAGTCTAATAATTCTTGTTTTTAAAGTTATAACAAGAACATACCCAAACTTTATCTCTATCCGATGAATGCAGAGAGGTTATTTTCGATCTCAAGAGAAGGGGAAGAAAGGAAGTAATAGAACAAACAATAACAATAACGGGATAAAAAGATAACTGAAGCGAACGATATAATAAATAGTAATATAGATTTAAAAAATAGGAAAATACAAGAATAGTAATGATACTATTGAAAAGGAAAGATAATTTTTTGACTATCTATTAACCTTTTACCCCAATTTTCGACATTTACCTCCTAATATCAAGGATCATTGATAGGGGGAATATTTGTTTTAAGAATATATCTTTTTTCGTTTTTAGAAAAAGAAGAGGAATTTTGAGATAAAGAAGAGTAAGAGTGGTCTCATATAGTAAACCTTTTGTGAGAATTATATGCTTGAGAAGATTCCTTTTAAAAGAGTGGACAGATTTTTAATAGACAAAAATGACACTATAAACATTGAACTGAAAAGTGTACTTTCCTTTTGATTGGTCCCAAAGATTCAAAGAACACTTTTAAAATTCAATGTACGATGCTTTTGATCAATTTGTCTGACTTACTAAATTTTTTAGCATACTTTCCACCTATCTGAAAGGTATTTATAATAATCTTACTTCATTTGTACCCGCTTTCGAGGATAACTAACTATAATTGATTGGATAAACCATTTAGTACGAAAGAATAGTTAATTATTGGATTTTTAACAATAGCAAACACTACTTCTAAAATAACCCAAGCAAAGACACTCTACCAAACGTGTTTGGTTAATATAGACGGGATACCACTTCAACATGTTAAAATAGCATGGTCTAATTAATTTTCGGGCTGGTCATTCAAAAATAATCGGTCTTTGTCAAGTTATTGAAAAATAACCACTATTTTGCTGCAACAAAGACCGGTCCAGCATAATATACTGGAGTTTGGTGCACCTGTGTATGAACTCCCAGCATATTATAATGGACCGATATATTTTGCTGACTCCAGTATAATATACTGGAGACTGGAGCACCGATGCTCCAAACTCCAGTATATTATGCTGGACCGAGATATTATACCGGAACTCCAATATATTATGCTGGAGTATTTTTCTGGATTTTAAACAGTTATTTCGTTCAGATTTATCTTTACATGAAAAGTGGCTAAATTTCGATTACTTTTGAAACTATGACTATTTTTGAATGACCACTTGTAAATCTGATTATTTTTGAATTTCCCCCTTCAACATAGCCTTTCCTTTTCTTTTGTTTTCTTTGTTTAACCAGAAAGTAGGAATTTCGGTCAAAGCCTATTTTTAAAAGTACTCGAGTTAATGATAATCAAAAAAATGAATATTTTTGTAATGAGAAAGGAAAATTAGAGTATGAAATAGCAAAGTAATCAATATAAAGCAAAAGTAAATTATTGTATTCCAATAGTCATCAGAACGTGTTCATACAAATGACATTTCTCTTCCTTATATAGTTATTTCTAAGTACAACATCTTTTTCCCTTTATGATCGAGTCATTATGAGCATTAATGACATTAATGAAACGTTATAATTGACAGTCGTAACTGTTTCATAAAGATTCTGTAACGTTTCTAATCATTAATGTTCATTAATTGAAGACCAATGAATCTGTGCTTTTTACTATCTTGGTTCATTCCACCGGTGTCTCTTCAAATTAATAAGAGACTCGAGCAACCGTTCTTCTTGTCTTTTAGACGTTTTGCTTGTACCTATTAAGACTCACATCTTTTTAAGTACTCTTCTCTAGCTGTCACTTTTCTAATGATTCATGTGTCCTGCCATGTCAGCCACATAATTAATTCCACGTGTAATATTTATTTTACCCAATACAGATAGTCCCCTCGCTTGCCAATTATTCAGCAATTGAATATTTGGGAAGTGGATCTCATTTATGGCGGGAATCTTTGTCGTTGTTTCCCACGTATCATTATACCTTTTTCTGAACTGATGTGTCGTACCATTTAATGCATGTGACACGTGGCAGTCATCGATTAGCTTTGCAACTCTGCAGCGGGTTTTAGGGCTTTTTTGTGGCTACTCCAGTCACAAAGTGATAGTTTTCATAATGACGTCTCCATCATTACCTTTTTTTATTTGACTGTTGCTTCTGCATATAAATACATCCTTTGCCTTTAATTTTACGATTTTTTTTCAGTGTCCTTTATTCACATCTTGTTCTCGTTCTTCAATTCGTTCTACTTCTCCATACAACTATGTCATTCATCAAACCCTGATCCTCGAGAAGTTCTCATTGTAGACGAACTCCCCCTTGCTCCTACCAGAAGTAGGAGAAATGGTAGGTTGCATAGTTTAGGATCAGTGTCTGTACAGGGTTCTTCTTCTCAACCTAGCTCTACTCCTCCATCATCTTCTAGAACTAGGGCTTCTTTTTCACATAGATCTTCTGCTAAAAATAGAGATTCTAGTGAACCAATTCGTGAACCTTCGGTTGATGAGATTATCCCTGCTGAACTATCCTTCTATTCTGATAGAGAATCGATTAGGAATCAAGTTACTTCTATAACTTCCCATGATCGTGCTGATGTTTACCCCTCTCAGATTACCGAGGGTTTGATTTCTGTTGTACGTAGAGACTGTCATTATAAATTTGATTTCCCAATTCTGGTCCCCAATGAAAACCAAAGGATCACTTATTTTAAAGTTAGCTTTTCTTTTGTGTATACATATCCCTTCGCATTAGGTTTGCCGTAAATTTGATGTGTGTTAGGACATATTGGCCCTATTGTATGGAGGGCCGTGGCATGCCTTAGGTATTTGGAAAATCTGTATCAGTTACCCTTCACATTTTATCATCTAATCCATCTTTACTCTCCCAAATTATTCTGTCGTGGGATTTTTACTCTCGTGACGAGAAGTAAAAGTGTTTTAGTTAGCCCTGAGAATGATAAAGATCGTTGCTGGTATGCCCGGTTCGTGACTGCCCCCACACGTGGGTTAGTAGGTGAAAAGAACATGCCCTTCCCTAAGAAGTGGAACTTTGCATGTAAGTTTTTCTTTCATTCTGTATTTCTCCTTTTTTTTTTGTGAAGAGCTTGTACTTCTCGTAACTGTTTTACTTTTATCTTTCAGCAACCATGAGAACTATTGGGGAGATTCTTGGTTTCCATGGTTGGGTAGAAAAATTGTTAACAATTGCTCATATGGAAGTAAGGTCTTGGAAGTATCTTTCAAATAGATTTGGATGGAAAGTTAAGACTTACGGTAACTTTCTCTTCCACTTTCTTTTTTATTTTCATTCTTATCTTAGAATTTGTTAAACCTTTTCTTTATTAGGGTTTCCCATTCGGGGTGTGAGTGATGAATCAATTGCTGCCCCAAGGCTCTTTTTAGCAAAAGCTCAGGAAATAATTTTGAGTTCCTCATAAAAAAAAGAGCTAATAGGCCACACGATTCCGAAGATGAAGAGGAGAGGGATGAAAACTCATTGGTTCGTAAGCCACGAGCCAGAAGACGGGTCATTTCTGATGACGAAACTCCTCCTCCTCCTCCTCCTCCTCCTCCTCTTGTTTCTGTGTTTGAGCATGAGAGTGCTACTTTAGTGAGTTCTGATGAAGAGACGCCTGCAATACCCCGTGACTCTAATGAACACCTATTTTCTCGTGGATTTGATGATGAAAACATTTGCTTAATTTTCGAGGAAGCGCTTCTTGCCTCTTTTCCTATGTCTGCTCCAATGGAACCTCAGTTACTTGTTCCTATTGTTGCCAATACTGCTCCACCCGTGGCTATTTTGACTTCTTCTACTGTTACTACTACCACAACTTCCCATGCTGAAATTAGCTCTTCTAGTGGAAGTAGGGCAATGAAACAAGTTACCATTAAGATTCCCACAGATGGTAACCTTTTGAAGAAATTAGGCCAGGCTGACGTGTGGTTGAAACCACTGATAGGCCCAGTTGAGAAGTCTAAACTAGAAAGTCATAGCTCTCTAACTTGGATGAATGATATTGTGCATTCATCCTTGAAGGTATAAACCTCGCCTTTTTATCTTGTGTGATTTTTCTTTTATTAGTATCACATTTCTTTTTCTTACTATGTAGATCAATCTCATCGGTACAAAGATGATGAAAAAGATTGTCCATATAGAACAGCTAATGCATGACTATCATACTGAGGCATATAATTGGAAAGAGCAGTACAAGAGTCTTCAACTTGAAATGGAGGTTTTAGAGGAAAACAGGTGTACCTTGGAGCAGCAAGTAAAGGTTTTGGCGGCAGAACTAGCGGTTGAGAGAGCCTCTTTTAATCAGACGAGCAAAGACAAGAACCTTCTTGAGTCTTCACTTGCTGAACAACGTTCTAAAGCTACTGAAGATCAGAGGTCTGAAATACCTATTGAATCAGAAAGAAGTTTATGCTGGTGAGCTTGTTCAAACGCTCACCCAAGCTCAAGAGGATCTCCAGATGTCTTCTGATAGAGTTCGATTTTTGGATTCACTTGCTCCCCTACAAGCTTCTTATGATACTGCCTTAACTGAGAAGGAAGAACTTAGAAATGAGATTGAGCATTGGAAAAGAGACTATAAAGCCCTTGAGGACAAGACTGCCGTTGAAGTAAGTTGGGCTTTTTTGAACGCACGCCATGATACTTTAATGGAAGCAAGCCAGGAAGGCTTTGACTTAGCTGCTGAGATTGCAAAGATCAAGGAGACTATTGAGAAAACCCAACAAAGTCAAAGATTTTCTTCACCCGTGACTGACATTCTCGAGGGTGACAAAATTACTCCTGGTGAGGCTGCTATTCAATCTCCTTCCGCTCAAGTTACTATTCCTGCTTC